AAAAAAAAAAAAAGCTTTCCTCTGTAGGGGCAGGAAGGCAGCAAATCACATTGCCATGTGTGTACCTATGCAAAAAAAAAAAAAAAAAAACACATGTACCTAAAAAAAAAAAAAAAAAAAAAAAAAAGAGAGATTGGTTTCTGTATTAAAATTTCACTTTCTCTGTCCTTCTATGATGCCAATTCACATACCGTATTGTAATGATCGTGCTGTAGTTCTCTTCCAACTAGACAGTGCATACCTTGAGATCAAGGACTGTGTTTCATTCAACCTCTAGTCCCAGTCTCCCTGGTGACTGGCACAGAGCAGGTGGGTTCAGCAGGAGAGGGAGGGGTGGTAGGTTTCGAGAATGGCCACAATATTTTGTAGCTCTTCCCATCAAGAGATGAGGCCTATTTCCCCACCCCTTGAATCTGGGACCTTGTGACCTGCTTTCAAGAATAGAAAGTGGCAGAAGTGACATTGTGTGACTTGAAAATCCGGGACTTAAGAAGTCCTGCAGTTGCCACTCCTGTTCTCTTGAACCCTTGAAGCACCACGTGAAGAAACCTGGCTAGCTTGCTGGAAGATGAGAAGTATATGGAGGAGAACTGAGGTTCCGTAACTGACACTCAACTACCCCCCAGGCGACAGAGCCATTAACTGCAGAAGCATGAGTGAGCCTCACACAGAGCCTGAGGTCTGCAGAGCCTGGTCCAACAGCAGAACTGCCCAGATAAGCCCAAATTGCTAACCCACCGAATCCAGAACTCAATAAATAGTGGTTATTTTAAAATCTGGGATGATTTGTTACACAGACAAAGCTAACTGATACAGTCAGAGATGATTATTACAAGTGTGATTATTCCAAGTGATCACTGGGTTGGTAAGTCTAGTTGCTCACTATCATCTGCTCCAGGATTCAAGCTTGGGACCCCGAGAGAAAAGAGTAGGAGATTCAGGACCCTTATTCACCACCCTGCTCCCTCAGGTCCTTTCAAATAGAGTTGCCTCCCATCAGCCCTTGCCAGGGTCACATTTACCTCCTTTTTCTCTCGTGAGCAGGACCGGCTTCTCTCAGCCTTTCGCAGAGTCTGACCTGTCGCAGTTCAAAAGCAGAACCAAGATTAAGGCTGTTTTAGAACAGCTAGTTTATCACCACAAAAGCTTTTTATTTGCAAACTGAATAGACGGGACCAATCATAACCAAATGATTTTAAGAAAATGCAGCCTGTTATTATAATGGGAAAATGGCACATTTTTGAAATAGACCAACGGCAAGGAAAATGGTAATTCACACACTTACGTTACTTGACTGTAATGAACAAAGCCCCAGCCCTTTAATCAGGAACATTATCTGTACTCTGAAAGGGCCGATGGACTGTAGTTTCCCGAGTTGAATTACAGTTTTATTAAATTGTTTGGAATTACATAAAATGCCTTCCACAAAAATGCCTTTCTCTGTGCACATACACATAACCTTTGATGAGCGCCTACCAACGTGCTGCACCAAACCCCCAAATCCACCACAGAGGTGACGGTACAGATGTGACTTAGGGGTAATCACCTGCATTTCACATAATGGGCAATTTCAGAGAGAACTGTTGCTTTTCTGGGAGAGTTAGAAGACGAACATTTGAAGGTATGCATAAATTCAACAGAGTGACATCATAATGTTTAAATATGCTGTTTCAAATGCAGTTTTCACAACTTTTATGGAAATGTCCATTATAAAAGAATTCCTTGATACAAAATTAATGGATTGCTTTGGTTTGAAAATATAAAACAAGAGTCACTGCATTACTGTTGATATAAACTGCCCAACTTCTCTCCCCGGTGGCGATTTGTGAAAATGCCACAACCAGGGTTCCCTTAAGTAAGAGCGCTCAGAAGACGGGAGCAGCAAAAAAGCTTAGTGACAGCTTAGCAAGAGAAAAGCGATAGGGACTGAGTGTCATAGGAAAGACACTTGTCTTTGGACATGGACACTTCCTCCTTTTTTTTTTTTGAGACGGAGTCACTCTTGTTGCCCAGGCTGGAGTGCAATGGTGCGATCTCGGCTCACTGCAACCTCCACCTCCCAGATTCAAGTGATCCTCCTGCCTCAGCCTCCCAAGTAGCTGGGATTACAGGTGGCTGCCACCACACCTGGCTAATTTTTTGCATTTTTAGTAGAGATGGGGTTTCACTGTGTTGGTCAGGCTAGTCTCGAACTCTCCTGACCTCAGGCGATCCACCCCCCTTGGCCTCCCAAAGTGCTGGGATTACACAGGTGTGAGCCAAAGCACCCTATCCAGTGTGGGGTGTTGATAGTGGGGCAGATGTATGTGGGGACAAGGTATATGGGAACTCTCTGTACTTTCTGTTCAATTTTGCTAAAGCTCTAAAAAATAAAGTTTATTAGTTAAACACACATACACACATGTCCAGGATTTAGGGACCAAGAGATTTGATTGTTGAGCCAATTTTGTCAGGACCTCCTGATGCTTGCTGCTCTGAGATAGGAGCTAGAAAGAGCAACTCCCAGAAACCCTTGACCACACTGCTCTGGCTATCAGTCTGAGGATTCCAACTGAGCCCTAAGGCTGGCCAGAGACAATGACATACCAGGTAGTCAGGTCACACCATGCAGAGCAAGGGGCCTGTCCCTGAGCTGCTAGGCGCAAAGCGGGTTGGGGTCCAGGCCACTGACAGATTGGGGTATCCTGGCAGCAGGAGTAGTGCAGAGGCCAGTGACATGCCAGCAGGGCCCAATGAAAGAGCAGGCAGCAGGAGGGGGCAGCGCTCCTCCAGGGCACTCAAGGCAGACCCCAGCACCTGGCTGAGGCCCTAGCTTTGCTGGCCACATAGCCTCCAGGGGATCTGGTCCCAGGGAACAAGTGACCAGCTATGGGACCTTAGAGAAGTCATTAGGTCTCTTTGGGCCATAGTTTTCTCCATTTTTTTTTTAAGAGTTAGGCTGAATCATCTTTATGGTTGCTTTTAATCTCTAAAATTCTGTCATATTAATAAAGAACAGTTTAAACAATTAAGGTGGACCACAAAAACAAAATATTAACGTGGCCAGGCACAGTGGCTCATGCCTGTAATCCCAGCACTTTGGGAGGTCACGGCAGGCAGATCACCTGAGGTCAGGAGTTCAAGACCAGCCTGGCCTGCATAGTGAAACACCATCTCTACTAAAAATACAAAAATTAGCCGGATGTGACAGTGCATGCCTGTAATTCCAGCTACTCGGGAGGCTGAGGCAGAAGAATCGCTTGAACCTGAGGTTGCATAGTGAGCCAAGATCGCACCACTGCACTCCAGCATGGGTGAAGGAGACAGACATTATCTCAAAAAATAAAAATAAAAAAAATATGAATGTAACTGGGCAGCTTAACCTCAAAATGCATTTGAAAACTTTTTTTTTCCCTTTCTCTTGGATTTCAAGATGGAATCTTAAGGCAAACTGCAGAAGCCTTTTCTCTTAGCCTTAAAATAGACTCCATGTTGGCCGGGCACAGTGGCTTACGTCTATAATCCCAGCACTTTGGGGGGCCTAGGCGGGTGGATCACGAGGTCAAGAGATCGAGACCATCCTGGTCAACATGGTGAAACCCTGTCTCTACTAAAAATACAAGAATTAGCTGGGCATGGTGGTGCGTGCCTGTAATCCCAGCTACTCAGGAGGCTGAAGCAGGAGAATTGCCT